ATGCCATACAGGTTGCTGCTTGGAGTTGCATCCCAGTTTCTTCTCCTCTACACCAGTGTCAGGATACCTCACACTGAAATTGGGTAGGAATTCAGTAATATTGTTGGGATTTTTTTTTTTTTTTTCCCTTCCAGAATGTAAGGAAAGGAAAAGAACTTCAGTAACTTCTAAAAAAAAAAGAATTAAAAATGGATTCTCTCAAGTCTTAAAGTACTACTGGAAATAGGGCCTTTTATTAAAGAGCTGCAGGTTTGTTGGGAAATGGTGGTAAAAGTCTGTCTTTCTGTCTGTGATGTTGTCCAGGGCTTCTACGGCAGAACTTGCCACTGGTAATCAAGGACATTGTTATTGAGAGGAAGAGTAGACAGAGAGGAAGAGTAGATGATAGGTAGAGAATCTTCCCCTTCTGTTTTATAGATACAGTGAAATATTATACAGTGAATCAGAGGACACCAAAGTGTCTTTACTTGACTACATTCTGGAATGCTTTGGAAAGAGAGTTAGAATGACTCTATGGTGCAAGTTGGATTAAAGGAAATTTCTTCACTCATGGTTAAACTAAGATAAGGGTAGACTTTAGTAGGTCTAAAGAAGTTGGAGAGGGAAGATGGAATATTTTGTAGCTCTTCTGGGTTTTGAAATAAAACTGGAATCCCCTTCTGCTAAGTGAAATGCTGAAGATGCTGGCAAAGCATGCCTCGTTTATCATTCTGAAATGGAGAGAATGAGTTGCTGCTACAAGAGACTGTGTTCATATAATAAAGATCTATATAGTAGTTGAATATGCTCCAGTTACTCATGACTTTGATTATTTGTGTTTGTGTTTTTCTTTCTTCTGATATCTGAAAGTAATATATTTTAAAGTTGCAAGGTCAAATATTCAAAAACTAAGATGGTATGAATTTCTTGAGGCAGTGTGATATTGGAGGTGGGGCTCTAGTTTTGAGAGGTGGGCTTAGTGCTCTCCATCTGCCTTGTACCACTGGCTTAGTAATCTTAGAAGATAGTTTGGTTTGGTTGTGGTTGGACTGGATGATCTTTAACATCTTTTCCAAACTGAGCAGTTCTATGATTCTATAATCGTAAGTCACTTGATTAGAATGTGTAAGTTAGAAATCCAGTTAAGAGAGCTGAAGGTCAAATAGCTCATCTTTGTCCGGAGGAAGCTCAAGGAGGCTCCAGCTTTGGTGCTTTGATAAAATACATAAACGTCATGATGAATTTGAACATTGGAGCCTCAGTTTCTCATCTTTGAGGATGCTGTTAACTTATTTCAAATGCACTTTGAAGCAACAGCTTTGGGTCAAGAGCGCATACAAAAGTAGATGTTGTGGAATGCGTGCAATAAAAACAAAATAATTAATGAAAGAACCTGATTTGTTTGTGTACAGATTATTTGTATGGTGCTCACTTCCTCTGCTGACGTGGTTGAAAAGTGTGTAATGAACAAGAAGAAAAAAGGGTTGTTTCACTGTTAAAACATTCCCTTTGCTTAAGAGGCGAATCTATTTCCAGTCTTTGCAGATGCTGAGAAACTTGTTTGCGTTTTTATCTGGCTATTAATCTATCTCTGTGTTCCCAGGTTGCTTTCTGGCTCTCTATTTCTGGGAACTCCATGCAATAAGTACTCTGAAGTCGTGATAAATAGCCCTGCAAATTCTAAACCACTTAGGAAATGCATCAGTGGTTGCATGGTAGTACTGAGTCTTCTTGTTGGAGACCGCTGTGTTGATGTTTGTGGGGAAGCAGGATTTCCTGAGTATTGTAAGACATGTAGTTCTTAGATTAGCACTTGAAATGTAATGTAAAGCATGATACCACACTGAGGGGAAAAAAAAAAAGTTCTCCAATTCATAAAGTGAGCATATATTTAACCCCACACAAAGAGAAGTCTGGAAATTTACATGCGACAATTACATAAAGAATGCATAGCCATATCTTCCAAATTGCTTGGCTTCCTATAGCTGTAACTGTAAAGTACCATTTATAGACAATTTAGTATGCATCATACCTTTCTGTTTTCTGGTTGGCTGTATTGTTGTAAAATTTGCATTGCTGATAAGGAAAAGAAGTGATGCTGAAATGCCAGTGTTATATTCTCCCATGCCGCAACATAGTATTATTCTGGTGAGGCACTGTTCTCCCTGCTGAGCTAGTTACAGTTTAATTGAAAATACTGTATCCATTTAGGAAGTCCAGTTATAGATATTCAGTGTTAACTACTTGTGTTAATGCAGCTTTGTGAAAGGCAACATGCATCTACAGCACTTACGTGGAATTTACTATTATTAGTACAAAGCATATATTATAGCAATAGCTATAATACTGCATAATTATTTTCTTGAGTCTTCAAGAAAGTTGCTTCTGTACATCAGTCACAACTGAGTGCCCAAAATGCTTCTACAGCGTAACTCAGGAGCTACTGATTTGTATAACAAATTCTTGAGGTTTTTTTTCCCTTGATTACTTACATCAAAAATAAGGGCATTTTCAGTGATTCCAAGGACCACAGACCAGTGTCTTCTGACTCTGTTTTTTATTCTACCTTTTGAGCAACTGTATTTGTAAATCAGTTTTTGAGAGATAACAATGACTTGACAGTTCATTAGAAAGGATATATACAATAATTCTGTATGCATTTGAAGCTGTAAGATGAGGCTTTGTAAAATAGATGCAGAAAATAAGTTGACTGTGTGACTGGATACTGTTTTAAGAAACAAATTCTGTAATTGTGTGCAAATGTCAAACTTCATACTGTTTTAATGGCTGGAAAACTAACTTGAAATAATTAAGGTTTAAGTTCCTGGTATTTTTCCTCTGAAATAGATTTTATATAATGCCAATAAAGCTTATTTATCCACTTTTGAAAGTGGTTCTGAAAGAAATAGATAAGAGTACCTTATTTTTTTCCTTAATACTGCCATGACTCAATAAAAGTTTTACCTTGTTACAGTGCCAATTGTTGTTTGTTTCAAAACTTTGAGAATATGTTGAAATAAATGTGACAATTTCTTCCTAAGGTTAGTGCAGCTGGCAGAGTTACCAGTGTTGTTTCCTAAACTGATAGGTGCTCCATATGTTTTCAGCAAAAATTGGAAGTATTTCAATGTTTCAATCCATGCAACTACAGTGTTTGAAAAAAATTGTTTTATATATGCTACTGATGTTCTCAAAACCTTAATTGTTACTATTGAAATAGTTGCTTTAAAATTCACAGTGTATTTCAACTTATGGTTGAACTACTTGATTCTTTGTTTGACATGAAGTATATTCATCCCCAGTATTCTGTCAGCATATGAAAAATATTCACTCTATTGCACAGAAATTACCATCATTATGTGTTTTTTTTACTCTAAAAAATTACATTGTATATAATCTAATAATTCTGAGGTGGAATTTTTTTATAGAATTGCTCATTTCTAATTCAGTATTTTGTTTGCTCAGAAGCCTTGTTTATCCAAACTTACAGAGCAAAAGTATAGAATGATTTTGTTTTAAGGCAGAAATAACCTATAACTAATCCAAAGAGCTTTGAAAGAAACTGAAAATGTATTGTTTGAAATGTTTTTTTCATTTCTTTACAAAATGGCAGCCAGCACAGTAGTTGAGTTTTTCCTATACGGTGGACAACTTGTGGTGGTAGTGGTATTTTTTGTTTGTGTCCAAGAACAGGTTTTCAAACCTTTCTGAAATTTAATAATTTTTATTCTAGCTGATTCAGATGCATTTCTATTTCTGTTACCCTTGGAAATAGAAGGGGTACATTTATTTCATAAATCAACACAGGCTAATTAATTTAAATTCTGGTTCAGCTTCACAGTTGTGAATTCTGCAGATAAATTCTAAGGAGGTGTTTTATTTATACTTCCTATAGTTGTTTGGCTCATCTGTCTTTTTCTCCCTCACTTCTATGAAATAACTGTCCCAGTATGACTGTATAAAATAAACGTATTTAGTATTTCTGTGCTACGTTTATCAATTTCCTGTGAACTTCTTTCAGACTTCCTATGAAGACATTGTTACACTTGCACAAATTTTTTCGTCTTTTTCAGGATTCTGAAAAAATCCATTTCTTTCAAGTCTTTAATGAAGTCAAATATTTGGAACTAAGGAGGAAAATAATGTAAGATATACAGAGATGTGTATTAGCGTGTTTAATGATCCCTCACAATGTCTTCATCAGTTCATGTGAAGTTTCATGTGGGATGAGGATGGAGTTAAACTCAGTATTTCACGCACATGCACACACACGCGCACACACACACATAAAACAAACAAACAACAACAACAAAAAACCCCAAACACCTTCTATTTTGTTTAGGCAGAGGAAGAGCTACACTTTATAAGGCTGGTAAATCCCTAAGTTGTCTGCTATCAGATTTCCAGTAGTACCTGGTACTGGACATAACTTACACGTACATTCGTAATCCTATTAGTTATATTGTCTCTCTTCTAGTTTTCTTGATAATGTAAATGCATTAATATCTTTTCTACCTTGAAGTCTGTAAATGCGTCAAGAAGTTGCCTCCAGAGAGGCAGTATCTCCCTTTAATCGAAGTCATAGGTTCTAGCATTTGATCTCTATATCTGCTGCTAGTCGTGAGCTAGACTTTGGTGTCAACTAACAGAAGAGAAATGAGAATAAGTTCTGTCTGGAATTTTTTTTAAAGGAGGTAAGTTGAAAATAAGGCACTCAAAAAAGAATTTCTGTGCTGCAGGATGTGATTTTTGGTGATGAGTAGTGGGTAGCACAGGTTGGTGTTGGACACACTGAGTATCTGGAGCTGATACCTTTGTGAAGGCAAGAATAAGTCTTGGCTTATCATCCCCTCTGACTCATGCACAGAGTTTGTAAAAGTTGTTGTGGATGCCCCATCCACGTTCAAGGCCAGGCTGGATGTGGCTCTGGGCAGCCTGGTGTAGTGGTTGGCAACCCTGCATGTAGCAGGGGGTTGAAACTCGATGATCATTGTGATCCTTTTCAACCCAGTCCATTCTGTGATTCTAAGAAAAATGTGTTTACAGTTATTTTAGCCAAATTTGAAGACAAATCCTGAAGATTAAATTTACTCTTTCTTCTGGAGAAAGAGATTTCATTTTTTCTTTTAATGTTGCTAATGTAAGTCTCTTTTATCTCAGCTCTATTTGCTTTTGCATGAATGCATGAAATGCATATATGTATTCAGCGTATCATTTGGAATTGATGTGCATAAAGAAACCAAATACTTCACCTTTTCAATATGCTACTGATGTAAATGGCTTGAGGTTAGTAGGCTTTCTTTATATGGTATCCATCAATCAAGGAGTATTATTTTCAAAATTAATATTTTGATTTAGCCTTTTAATCAATTTTTATAATGTATTTTTATATGACAACATCTGAAAATAGCAGAATTAATGAAACAAAATTTTCTGCTTAAAGATTAGAGTGACTTTATTAAGTACATAAACTCGAGATTTTTGCATAACTACTTTGTCAGGGTGGTAAATCCCGTCCATGTATTTTCTGTAATAGAACATGAAGCATTTCATTCAGTGTAAATGATTCCCTGAAATTATTTTAAACTAAACATTCAGAACTGATGTTTAAGTTTTTATGTTTCCCTTGTAAAGAGAAACATTGAGTCCTTTTTTGAGAGCTCTGCTTATAGAATTTAGCAAATAAGCTTTAAAATATTTTAAGATTTATGATGCTGTAATAAGATACTTTTTCTTAGTGGAATGTCTTGAAGGGCAGGTATTGCACTCCCTCAAATTATCACAGTCTTTTCAGTGCTGTATGAAATTTCTGCTTTTCCTCATCTTTATTCTTTCCCCTTTTGTTATTCTCACTACAGTTTAGTATATATTTTTTTAAATCCAGATAATTTTGTAGCATATAATATTTGCTATCTCTACATCACTAAGAATGTAGAAGTAGTTGAAGTTTGTCTCTTGAACCAGCTGTGGCACTGCAGGATTAGTGATGGGGGAAGAAATGCACTCAAGCACATAAGAAAGTTGGGAGAAAGTTTCACGACGGTTTAGCTACACATCTGTACAGTGCTCTGGTAGTGGGATAGATTGTGCTATAGTCAACTACTAAACAAGAAATCTTTGTCTACATATGTGGAAGGTTTATGCTGGCTTTTATGTGAAACTACCTGTACAAATTTAGCCTGTCAAAAATACTGAATATATTTGAATTGCAGAATGAGTTTCGACTGGCTCAGTGCTTTGTAGCATGTGGCTATAGCACCTTTGATTTGGGTGCAGCAAAGCCTGTACCACTGAAGCACAGTGTGAGGCTGTGCCCGCAGCAACACTGGCAGACCCTGTGCTGAGCCCCTTGCTACACCCTGCTAGTAAGGAGCTGTTCTGTGTCTGATTTAGCCAGCCCTTATCTTTTGGAGTGGTGCAAGGAACAAATATATGATGTGCTGGTACTGCCTGATATAGTTAGCTACTGTATATATTGCTCCCAAATTACTTTTCCCTATTCATTACTCCCTTGTACATGTTTTGCATTCAGGTTACTCTCTGACCTTCCCCAGCTTGGCCTGTACTATATTTTTCTCTGTACCATTTCCTTTAAAGTTCCAAATCTGCTATTGTCTTCATCAACCTTATCCAGTCATTCTTCTCTTTTATTTAACAGCATTTGAAATTGTAACAACCTGGCTTTTCCCAACTGCTCACTGAGATGGGGGCACATGGCTACCTCTGCTGCATGTTGCCTGGCCATGGCCTCAGCACGACTCAGCCCCACACCTGCCTCAGTGTTCTTTCCTTGGCGCTATTCCCGGTCTTATTTTCTCTCTTTAATACATTCTCCCCACCCCTCTTCTTTTATCTGTTCATTGCACATTGCTCCATGAGGCAGATTCCATCATCTAGCTCTGCACTTTAAGTGATGCAAGGTCTTAAAATATGGTGAGTATCTACATTGGCACTGCTGTGTGTGGACAGGGAGAGTTCTGTTACTGGCAGAAAGAGTGACATAGCATCAGGTGCACAGACAGGAGGAGGAAAAAAAAAAAAAAGAGCAGACTTATATGTTTAGGTAACAGCAAACTGTCCTTAACACAGTCTTCCTTTATGTTGAGTCTGCAGCCTGAGAGTAGTATACATGTGCATGTCTCTAAATAATGAACTGATCATTTACAGCTCTCTTCTAAAAATGAATAAATAAAAATAATACCAGCCCTAGCTTTTCCATTTTCTTCTCTGGAAGAAGAAACTGAAAGAAAGGTGTCATACATCTTGACTTCACAGTAAGTCCAGAAATCTGCTGAGATTGCCCTGTTCCTTGGAGGCATTTGGCAGGCCCAATTAAGCAGCTCACAGAATCTCCACAGTAAGTGATATGCAGCAGCAATATACCTGCACATCTGAAGGCTTGTGTTTTTTTTTTTTTTTTTTTTTTAATGCTAGTTCCTTCCCATGTTTATCTACTTGATTTGGAAGGCAGGTGAGGAGGAGGGTCTCCCTTGTCAGCTGCAGCTCTTTGCTGTAATGAAGGCAGCCTTCTTTCCCCATGCTGTGTGGAGAGATCATCTTACAGTTCTGGAGAAGAGACTGAAACTGCCTGAGCCAAAAGCATGGTGCTAGTCGAACATCATTTACTCTTCACCTTCAGTTCTGAAGGAGAAGGGCAGTTTTCTCAGATTTATTGAAGTTTTGTTGGTCAGTGTTTACTTGCAGTGGAAAAATGCTTCTGTGAGCTTCCTTTCAAAAAGACAGTTCCCTATCAGGCACTGAGCTCTCTTTCCCCTTTGCAAATCAGAGAGAACCTCTTGTGTTTTCCACCTTCTGCTGGTGGGCCCAGCTGCTGCTGCTGCTACAGTTTTTGGGCTCTGTTTTCCATCACCTGTGTGGCATATGACTCACGCCTCTTGCCCGGCAGAAAAGGCTCTGGGTGTGCTGATTGGCAGCTGGCTGAATGTGAGCCCACAATGTGCCCACGTAGGTGAGTCAGCAGCAGCCTGTCTTGAGTCAGAAAGTCTGGCCAGCAGGACTGAAAAAGTGATTGTCCCCTTGCATGTGGCATTGGTAAAATCATACCTTGAGTACTGTGTTGTTTTGGGTCCCTCAGTACAAGGACATTGGGTTACTTGAGCGTGTACAGAGAAGAGCAACAGAACTAGTGAGAGGACTAGAAAACAAGGCATCTGAGTGTGGCTGAGGGATCTGAGGCTGCTTAGTCTGAAGGAGGCTAGGGGACACCTCATCAGTCTACCTGAAAAGAAGCTGTAGTGAGGTGAGTATTTTTCGGTTGACGAGTGATAGCATGTGAGGAAACAGCCTCAAGTTGTACCAGGTGAGGTTTGGATTCAATATCAGGAAGGATTTCTTCATGGCAACATTGGTTAGGCATTGGAATGGACTGCCCAAGGAGGTGGTGGAGTCCTCATCCTGGAGGTATTAAGAGATGATGTGTGGGCATGATGCTAAGGGACATAGTTCAGTGCTGGGATTCAGGTTGATGGTTGAACTTGATGATTTTGAAGGTCTTTTCCAACCTAAATGAGTCTATGATTTGATGAAGGTGGCTTTGTGGCACCATAGTTTGATGTTGTCATGTTTTAAAGGGGAAAAGAAAAAAAAAAGACTGGCTGTAATGGGGAGGGTGCATGCATGTTGACCTTAATCTTCAGACTCAATATTAGATTTACTGAATGTGTGCATTCAGTTTTGCCTCAGCCCTCTTCTGGAGCTAGTTTCCTCTCGTTGTGGGGCATAGTTCACAGAAAATATTGATTCAGTATGCATATATCTCAATATCCAAGTAGACGACAGTGTTATTTCTATGTTTTCTAATGCTGTGGTGGGTGAGGGCTCACGTCCCGCCGGCTCCTGCTCCAATTCCGGAGGAGCAGCAATGGGAGCTGGAGGGAAAAGCGCGGAGCCGCCCCGGTCCCGCTGCCCGCCCGCGTTGCCGTGGGAACGGAGTCGCTGCGGCGGCCGCCATGAGCGCGTCCAGAGCCGGGTCCCACGCAGCCTCGGCCGCCCCTCGGCTCGTTCAGGTATCGGCCGCGGGGCGGCGGCGTCTGCCGGAGTGGGGAGGGCTGCGAGCAGCGGCCCCTCTGGGGTAGTGCGAGGCGCGGTTTTGGCCGAACGCCTTCCTTGTGTCCGGTAAATGCGTTGGCTGTTTCTATGGAGAGCGATTGGCCGCTCGTACGGGTTATCTCTTCAATTATAAATTTAATTTCGTCCCGTGCTTTTCTTTTAAACAGTTTCTGCAGCTGCGGGGCTTTATGTGTCGGTGGGCACATGCTTCAATCCCACCTCAGTGTGCTCCGGCCGATCCTTAGAGCTTATCTTTCCAGATTCAAGGACAAAAGTTTTCCTTGTTAAGTGCTGCAAAGGGAGGGTCTGTCACGGAGCAGGAATTCACGGTTATCTGAGAATTATTTCTGTGTTTCTTAATCCTTTGAAGTTGGTTTGCTGGCTTTGATGTAGGTTTAAAGGAGACGATCCAGGATACGGCTTGAAAGGATCCAGTTCATTCCTACTGAAGATACAGCAGGAGACTTGCAGCAGTTTCTTATTCTGAAGGGAGAGCTCTCAGTGCACAAACAGCTCAGTATATCCCCAAAAGCTGAATGGCACTTGTGTAGTTGTACCATATTTTTCCAGGGCACGAGGTCAACACACGCAACCTCTCTTATGTAAGACTGACTGCTGTTCTCTTCAGTAGGATTACTTTGACCTGATTGCAGAGTTTTTGTTAATGCTGCTTAATTATAGAGTTGGCAGTAACTCCATCCTGCATCCGACTGACCTGAAGTCAGGCAGGCTGTGAAGGTAGTAATGTCTGTGAACATAGTAAATAGTGGGCACTCAGGAGTGTGTTAGTAACTATGTATTTATAAGTTGTTGGACTCAAACAGCAAATACAACTGCAGTGCTCGTCCATCTTGCTTGTGTTTATGCATGCACATCTAAATGTATCTCATCTCATATTTGGCATCCTCTGAATGCTGTAAAACACAATAGGCATCATAAGAGAACCGCGAGGGTCGCATTCCCCCATGGTCTGTTTTTAAACATTTTTTTAGTAAATCTTCTACAGAAGTCATTTACCTTTATTCAACACTGGTGATGTAAAAACAGTAGAACAAGCAATTTGTGAAAACCACTGCATAAGCACTTATTTTTCTTATATGTTATTTCCTTTTTTTTTTTTTTTTTTTTTTTTGCATTAGCAGTTACCGTTTTTACTATTCTGAGATTAAACACGTCACCTTCTCATTATTCACTTTGGGAAAGCAGTGACATGAAGTGTCAGGAGAGACAAATTTGTTAATGTAGCCATGCTGCCAAATGGCAAAGTAAAAAAAAAAAAAAAAAATCCTAACATATTAAATAATATTTACATCAATTGATTTATCTATCTCTCTCTGCCTTGAGGTGACTGCTCTCTCCTATCAAAATAACTTGGTTTTTTTTTTTTTTTCTATATATTTAGATGCAAAGGCACCTCACCCCGACAGAGAGGAAAACGAAAGACGGAAATGCTTTATCTGCTGCTGGTAGTAGAGGGTAAGGCTGCAGTGTTGGTTGTCATGCAGCTTTCATTTGAGCCCCATTAATCAAACCTCCTCAAGAGAGAAACAACCCTGGACAGTGATTTTTATCTTTCAGTAATACCTTTTTAACGATTACTGCAAAGGGAGGAGGGTAGGGCTAGGCAGTACCCTCCTGAAAGGAATTTAGAAAATCTCTTTGGTGATTTGTTTGGGCTGTTCAGAACAGTTTAGTTTTGCACGTTTCTAGAAGGGTGCACCAATGCATAAAAACTCCACAGACATGTAACCAAAAGAGAACGTGCACACTTCCTAGAGCTCAGCTTTTCAGAGTTGCACACACAAACCGCAAGCAGAGAGTTGAGCTTGGTTACAAGAACAAACCAGAGGAAGCAAAGAGGTCTTCACAAAGTGGAAAGTGATCAAAAGTAATTGGACATTTCTTAAATTTTGGAGAATATGAAGGACAAACTGACAAATTGGAAATAGTTTTGATTCATTACTTGCAACTTTTAAGATTGATTTAATAAAGTGTTACTAATAGAAGTATTTTGAGATCTCTGAAGGCAAGGCAAATTGTGCAAAGTATTACTGAGAAAGAAGCTAACCTTTTTCTTTTTTTTCTTCCAGAAAACTGTAAGGATTAAATTCTGAATGGCAATAAAGTTTTAATATTATGTTTCCAACTGTAGTTAGAACAGATACAATTAAATAGCAGCCTTTAAGCTCTCCTTTACAGCAGCTGAGCCCATGAAAAATGAATTCCTATTATTCCTCTTTTGAAGGGAGCTTTAGTCTCCCTCTTTTCCAGTAGCAGGTTTAGGACTAAAATTTCCTTGTGATTTCTTAGGGAGTTACATTTGGTGTGGATTTTTTTTCAACTTCACATTCATCCCCGCAATTTATATTGGATGTTATCTTCATTCTGGTTGCAAGAAATAATGAGCTGTGCTGCTGTGTTATGAAAATGCATTGCATTTCCAGAAATTAGAACAATTTTAATGCACGTATACCCCCATGAATATAAATCTGTATTAAAAAGAAATACTACAGATTCAGGATTTGTTTTGTTTTATAGAAAATGATATTTTTCAACCTCTATTGTTTTTTTTCTTGTTTTGTTTATTTTTCTATAGCAAAGAAGGAAGAACAGAGTCCACAAAGGTTAGTGAATTGTTTTTCACTTTTGTTATGCCACCCCCCATGTGAAGAAGAAATCCCAGCCCTGAGTGCAGTGCCCAATAGTGTGGGCAAGAGGCAAGAAATAGGCTTGGCAGGTCATTCAGTGTAGTGGTCAGTGGATAATTCTTGAGGGCTTTCTATTTTGGTGGAACTTTTTTTTTTTTAATTTTTAAATTAAATATAATTGGAGAAAGGGAAGCAGTGGTGATAGTGTTTGCAAGGATTGAGATTAGTTGTATGGTTGGAAAGGATGTTGTTAATGAAGGAAAAGCTGACAAAAGCAGAATGGGAATGACTGACTTGAACAGCTGACTGACTGTTTATGAAGTGTATGGGGAAGTATATATCTAGTAAATGTTGAAGTTCTGTTGATTCCGAATAAGGAGAGTTTTGCATATTACAGGCTAGATTCTAAAATGGTGGAAGAAGTGGTTATCTGGTAAAAAATGAAAATGGAGTCGAAAACCATAATAACAACAATGACCTTATGTTGTTTGTCTTCTAAGGAATTGTTAATGAAGCCAAAGGTCCAAGTAGCTACTGATCTTCAACACTGTAAATAGAGACTTAGGTTCTGTTTAGCACTGGAAGTGAAATAAAAACGACATTTTCTTGCAGGTAAATGGGAAGAGTTCAAAGAAGTCCACAATGTGAATGGGAGAAACACCCAAAGCCAGACTACTTAGAGCTGATAGAAGTATAATACGTGAAGGCTTTTTCTGTCTATTGCCTCTTATTCCTTTAGCACTTTATTCACTTAACTGTAATCAGTATAAGTTATAGTATTCATGAGAGTTTACAAACCTGAATTTTCCAAAGAGTAAAAAAAGCTCCATGTGTGCAATATAAATTTTACTCCTGTAGTAGAGTCATGCCCAATTAATTGCATTGTGTTGGGTATGACTAAGAATCAGATTTATGAGTAGCTGCTGGCAAAACGTAGCTATTTACTTAAATATTAAAATATGCATGCTCCCTGCCAAAAATGCTATAATCAAATCAGCCTTTTGAGTGATGTCACAATGATTGGCTTTATATTTGCTAAGGCACTTGAGAATGCAGAGAACTGTTTCTATAAATCTCATTGGAACAGTACATGTGAAATGATAATTCACGTTGACTTTTGCACCTGACTTATTTTAAAACTCTTTTAAATCCTTCTAGATATGTATCTTTACATTGTTAAAATGCTAATTATCTTAACAAAGATAATTGTGTGACAAATGTGGGATTCAGAAGTTCCAACTCTAATGGACTTTCTTACATTGATTATTGCTGATGAACGAGACTCTTCATTCTTCAACTTTGCTCTGCAATTTTTTTTTTTATTTAAGCAATTTTCAATTTCTCCTTTCTATGGAGTCAGAAGTGACTGTGTTTCTTTAGAGAAGAAAATTTACATCCGTACAGTAGTATAAGTATAGTGACATATATAAATAATATAGTGTCACTGTCTGCAAGCTCCCCCCATGGTTTTGGAGCCCTGCTATATTACAGAAAGAAACAAAACTTGGCCTCAAGGGATTTCACCTGTTTGTACAGTGTGAAACAACAAGTGGACTAAGGTGGTAAGACAAAGTAGCAAAGAAGATGGTACATGCCTTGCTTACTCCCTGAGGACTGTGATAATGTGTTGAGAAAATTAGGAGCCCTTTTATCTCAGAGATTGCTGGCTGTGTGACCATGAGCTGTTCTGCTTGTATCAGTTTGGCTTGATGAAAGTGGTAACTCCTTTGTGAAACAAAAGGGCTGAGCGTCCTTAAGGAGATGAATGTGATTAAACTTGATGGATTTAACCCAGTGTCTGCTACTGAAGTGAAGAAGGATTAAAGAGTTGACAATATTATAAAAGATAATCCAAAGCGATTTCTCTTCTGCTGCAGTCTGAACTAATAGTTTTGTATTATTCCCCAGGGAATTTTGTATATGTTTCTTGATAAAGGGTTATTTTACTATGTGTTCACCTGTTTAGAAAGCTTTTTTTTTTTTTTCTGTTTAGAATGGATAGGAATTGAACTTGCAGTTTATCTCATCCTGGAAATCAGTGTCAGTGTAGAAGAAAGCAGAAGGGCTACATGTCATACTTTAACTTCAAGATAATATGTGCAAGAGTCTCTGTTAACCTCTGGTAAACTCTGGATGCTCCAGGTTTCTGGCTTAATGAAACCTTAAAGAACTTGGAACTTTCTTATCAAGCTATCGCATGGCTGTCTGCACAGGCAACACGTTGCCAAAGCTGAGATAAGGAAAGGCATCCGAGCTACACCCTGCTTGCTTTAAGAGAGGAAACTGCTGACAGGGAGTTCTTAGGAAGAGCTCTGTAACTCCATAGGGGACAATGAAGTTGAAATAGATGTTACTGGCCATGGTATGCAAGCTGTCAAGACTGCTGCAGTACTTGAGAACTGAAGGAAAGAAAATGTGCTTTTTTTTGTTTTGTTTCTCTTGGGCTTTTTTTTGCCTTTTTTTTTTTTTCTGGTTGAGAAAGCTTTGTTGAAAGTGCAGTGTTGAGTAGACACCCTGAAACACTGTCCAGAAGTTTCTGTAAAGTTTTAATAAGTTGTAAGCGTCAATTGTCAGTTTGCATGTTTTCAGATTTAACGTGTGTTTTCTTCAGCTAGATACACATTCTATTAATCAGATAACAGCAGCTGCTGATTATATCAAGGAGCTGGCATTTTGTGTATTTCCTAGCAGTCAATTGTGACAACTGTTACATGGTCAATAGGAAGTTAGCTATGTCAGCAGAATGTGTACTTCTCACACTTCCTGTAGATTTTGTTTTGGGGAACTGGTTTTCTGACAATTAAAAGATAAGAATGAGCAGGGTTCCTTATCCACTGTCATCTTTGTATGTTATAAGGAATTACTCATCTTGCCCAAGGAGGTTGTGGATACTCCATCCCTCGAGGCATTCAAGGCCAAGGTGGTCTGGTGGTTGGTGACCCTGCACATAGCAGGGGGGTTGAAACTAGATGATCACTGTGGTCCTTTTCAACCCAGGCCATTCTGTGATTCTGTGTGATTCTGTGATAAATGAGAGCTATGCATTCTCTGCCTCCTTATTTCCATTCTGATCAATGTGCAGTTGTGGTAATCAGCTGAGCTCTTTAATTAAATTATTCCCAGGTTGCTGGGTAAGGTTTTGCTCTTCCACTTCTTTTTCAGGAGAACAAGGTTAAAAAAAAAAAAAGTAGAGAAAAAGATCAAAACAACTGGTGTGAATTAAGCTAGGAGTTGTCTCCTTCTGGGACCTCAGGCAGTTGTCTTTATTCCCATCATCTTAAAATGGTTTGCGGTTTAGTTTGTTTTTTATTCATGGTGTCTGTGGAGTGTACAGGAGTGGCAACAGGCTGTTTGTGAGAAAACAGTTTAGGCAAATTGCTAATGGTGTGGGATGATCACTTTTTGTTGTTGTTGCCTTAAAGCAAACTAATTCTGCTTCTGTTTGAATAAGGGTTATGCATCTTGTTACACAATCCACTGAACAGAAACACTGCTTAATTTCTTTCTTAAAATTGAACATCTTTGTGAATTGTTCCTAGTTGTTCATTTGTTATTCTTTAGAATCCCGATGTTTTTAGGGAATGGCAGTCAAACTAAAAATATGGCTTTTTTTAGGTGTACATGTATGCACATATGTGCCTCTGTGTGCTGATTAAACTAACAGAAGTTTTGGAGACACCTGATGAATCAGATCTGTCTAGCTTTTCTCTGCTTCACCTGCCTTTTAGTACAGCATTTGGTTGTATTCTTAATCATATCCCTCATTGTTTTTTTTTCTTTGCTCATTGGTGTTCATCAGTTCATCAGTTAAGACTATCAGAAGGGATAGATTTGCATTTTAGAATGTATACCTACAAGTATTAGGATTGAAGTTTTGTTTCTGTCCTGTGTGGGAGCTGATGGAATAAAAACCTCTTGTTCTGTCTTCTAACATGTGTGCTCCCAGCATCACCTAATAGACTTCTGTTCTCAAAATGTTAAATTACATCATTTGTAGTCATTATCAGTTGGGGATGGGAGGGGGGAGGAAGTCTAATTAAACTCCTATCAAGATCTCAGGTCTAAATTACGTCTTGAAAAATTCAAATAACAAAGGTTGAGAAATCCACCATGGTTGTGCTCTGCTTTAGAAGAGCCACACAAAAATGAAAAAGTGTAGTAAGAAGAGTCCAAAAAGCACAACGAAAAGAATTGTAGTCTTGCAAGTGGCATGAACGAGATTGTGCTGGGAGCACAAAGCCAGCGCTTACCATCTGTTAGAAGGATTTAAGAATGGATGAAGAGAAGTCAGTGTGGTAATGATGATTGTTGGGCAAAAAACACCAGTGTTGTTCAGAAACCTGAAGTTATTTCCAAACTTGATGGAGTCCAAAAGGACCTTTAGCCTTGGCATACTAAAAGTAAGAGCGCAACTGGAAAAGCCAGAAAGTAACTTTGAGAAAATCAGGATAAGGCATGAATTTGTCAACCTGGTAAGGAAGCAACAGAGGTGAGATATGAATGAAAGGTGCAAAATCATGAGGTGAAGACTGACGGCCTTTGTTTTTTGTCACTGTTTCTTCCAATATAAAAATTAGAGAGTATGCAGGATAACTGCAGTTGGAAAACAAAAGTGGCTCTTTGTACAAGACACTTGAGGACTCTCAACAAACAGTGTTCTGGATAAAAGCTGACATGGGTCAAAGGAGGGAGAGAGGCTTACAGTAGAGGGATCTTTAGAGTGTAGTTGGCTCACGTAAATAACAGAAAGGCCTTTCTGTGACCAAGGGTACTTTTTTTGAATTTAATTATCAGTTTTGTAACAACCATGTGAATGACTCTGCTGTTATACTCTGTACTGTTTAGAAAACTGTAGCAAAAATGTTTAAAATTGCAATGTTTAAGGGATTGGTTTTCACACTGTCTTCTCAGGAGTCTTGTGATTGCTTTCTTTTGGACATTCCTGTCACCAGAGATCAGATGAACCACTATCGAGCTGCAGCGGAGACTGCTCAGAGTGAACTAGCAGCACTATCAGTGAAGTATGACTGTGTCCATTCAGAGGTATACTTGAAACTACCTCCAAATGCTTCTCCAGACCTGAAGATTTTCTATAGAACATTTTTGCAGAGAACAGAAAGTTTACAGAAAGTACAAAAATGCTTTGTTTTCTTACAAATTTTTTTGTAGCACCTGAATGTTAAAAAAAAGAGCATGGGAATAAAATATATTTTACCATAGTTAGCTGAGTATGGGGAACAAGAACATTCAATACAATAGAAGAATGGATTATTAATACAGTGTCCAGTCAGAACTACAGGGGTGAGTGTCCATCAGCTGAGCTTGAATTTGACCAGTTGATCCTGAAATTACTCCAGAGATCCTCTAAAGTTATCCAGGATCATTTCATATTTGAGAACTCATACAGGATTTCATGGTCTCATAGAAAGAAGTTCTTACTGGAAATCTTGAATGATTTAATTGCCAGCATGACTGACTGATTTACAGACTCCTTCAGCTCTGTTCTTGCGAGGCAAAAGAATAGGCAAGAAAGCAGCTGTTCATACTCTTGTTTAAGACCTTCATGACCCAGCTGAGGTCAGAACCCAGTTATACTGAATGCTCTTAAAATTCATGATATGAGATTATTCTTGTTGGTTTTTTTTTTCTTCTGCTATTGGAACTGACCACAGAGACAAGAGACAGAGTGAAAAATATCACATTTGGCAAATGAGGAGTTGAACTACAGAGAAATTTTAAGGTTATGAACAATTTAAGCTACCATAACTTGTTCCAGCTGCCAAATAAAGCAATCTCATTGTTCCTTCAGCTGCTCATTTCCTTCCCCATGCTGCCCCATCCCTTGCTTTAGCACAAATGTCTGTGTTGTGTTGTGGTGCACTGGTTTGTGGAGCTGATCCAGCAGAAGGATGAAGCCTTTCCTTCTGGGTTGTTTCTCAGCTGGATCAGTTTCCTGATATATTTTACTTCATTGCCATATGAGTGTCCCTGATACTTCAAAGAAAAGAGTGAGTTACCAACACGAAGCCAATGAGATGGGGAAGGGACAAAACTGCTCTTCTCAAAATCAGTGATGGCTTATGCCAGCTCCAACTGCAGTAACTGTTCAGCTGCCTTACCAGCTGGAATTTTGCTCTGAGCATCTTGGCTTTGCTTACACTAGAAGCTTCTGGGAGAGCTATGAATTTTTTGACCTTCTGTACTGCAGCTAAATGTCTTAAATATTCACTGCCTTAATTTTTTTTTGCCACATATTTTAACTTATATGTCAGAAAGAGCATTTAATGTGGTTTAATTATTTGAATGCTAATCTTACACAGTTTGCCATATGTGATATGTTACTGATTATAACTGGAATTGTCAGGAAAGCTGAAATAATTCTTAGCACCTCATGTGGCAAAATTTTCAGTGTAAATGGTGTTAAATTTAACAAAGTAAAAAAAAAAACTGAACTGCTTTTTTATGTACCTGATGCATGTGCCAGAAGCTCAATCCTTTAGAGAAGTTTGTAGCAGAAATAATTCAATGGAAATTGGTATTCTAACAAAAATTGAGAAAGGAAGATAAAGAAAAACACATGAACTACATGAGATGCTGGGAAGCTCCAGCATCGTCTTTGGAACAGATTCTTGATGTTTGGCTGTGATCTTTCTCTTCCTCCTTGAAAGACTGTCTTGCTGTTTAAGTCTAGTTACATTTCATTGAAATATCTAACCAAAAAATAACTATTTGCTTAAGCTGAGAAGTGGTTGCCTTATAGCACAGCTCTCAAAAATTATCTTTGCATTTGGATATGCAGCAAGTCATCAAAAGGCTCCACTCTCATAAAAGAGGATAATGTTACTGCAGCTTTCTGCAACTATAGATTGTGTAATTGTGCACTAGAGCTGGGAGCAGGGAGGAAGCATGCAAAAAAGAGGGAATAGTGGTATTAACTGCTGTGTTGTACTGCATATGTGTAGGTGAGGTGGGTTAAGGTTATGTGGGAAAACTGAATACAGGCATTTTCTAAATTCTGATTTTATTAACAGATTTATCTAACAGGCAGAGATTAATGTGAGAAATTGCATGATATGACACAAGAGCAACTTTTTATTTCCGTTGTATTTTCTAGTGATATGAAAATAAAGTTACCTCCTTTCATTTATTCTCACAGTGGTAGAATCTTTTCTCACAGGACTGAATCTTTTATTCCAGAAGTATTTTTTCTTGTCATGTTATTAAAATTTTAATGTTTGTATTTTTCAGCCTGTAGAAAATTATTCTTTCTTCTAATGAGTTTTCTCATTTTCTGTTTATAGCTTCTTGAACTCAGGTCCAGAATGATCTCAAAAGAAACCTCCTTTAAAGAGCTGAAGTCTGAAGCTGAAAACTACAGGGAAAACAATGCTAGACAGGCATCTCTCCTCTTGTCTTTGCAAACTCGAGTTCGGGAGACAGAAGAAGAGTTGAGTGTCCTTGTGGCTTCTAAAAAACAAGCTGAGCTGACAGCTCAGGCAGCATCTAAGGAAAACTGGGAGCTGAAAGAGAAACTTCATGAGCAAAATGCCAGACTTAAGTAAGATTAATGTGAGATAAAAAATTTTGATGACAAAAAGCTACAATGGTCAACAGAAAATAAGGTGGTAGGCAGACTTAATGTGCCTTTTGTAGCACAGCTGTGATGAACAGTACCCTTAACTACAGCTTGGTGCTCTGGCCTATTCTCATCATGTGGTGCCTTTTGAAGATGTTACCTGTCAGATGCACGGGCCACATAGTGATGAGTGGTGGTGCTGCTGCACTGCTCTTGTCTCTTTCCCCTCATCTGTGTCACAGCTGGAACTGGAATGATGCAAGTGAATTTCTTTCTTTGTATAAAGCTGTCTGTGAGGAACAGTGTAATGAAATTATGGTATATTCTTACCTATGCCATAACAGGGTAGGCTATGTCTATTTAGATATGTGTAACTTGAAGGGAATATGTTAATGTTTCTTTAACTTTAATAAGGCTGTCTTTCTTTGTCTGACTTTCTTCCTCCTTTCTGGACATTGTGTTAAGAGCTAGAAAAGAGTTAACCAGATGTCTATGTTTCCCAGATCAGTATTTTGCACAGCTCTTCTAGGCTTTATGAGTTAGAAGTAGATAACTAAGTTATTTTAGTATCTAGAGAAATCTAGTGCAGTACACTTGTCTATTATCAGCTGAACTGCCAAAAGATCTTCCTGAAGAGTGCTAAGGTTGGTTGACAAAGACTGCAGATAGAATTCCAGTATAAACAGAGATAGTAAAGCCAGAAAGAATATTATAGCAGTTTAGAAAACACTACAATCTTTAAGAATATGGTTGTTAAGTTTCTTTGAAGAGTTGTTTTTCTTTTCCTTGTTTGCCTCACTCATTAGGAGAAATCTGTCAAAATGTGTCAAAAACCTGTTGTTACAGTGATAGGGTCAGTTTTGTGTAGCATAAACCTGTTCTGTATCTACCAGTGTGGTCCTGTCGTCTACCTGGCTGCTCTCTTTTGCTCATGTCACTTGTACCAGCACTTCCATTTGTGTTACTGCATGGTTGTCCTAGGGGTCTGCTCCAAGAGAAAAATAAACTTAATTTAAAAAACTTAATTTCTGGCTCTACCAATCCGAGGTCTAATTAGCTGCACAACTTGGTGTACCACTACACTGCTGGCACAAGGGAATGGTCAAGGGAAGGGTGAGTCTGCTCTTCCAGAAGGAACAAACATGTTGGATTAAACTGATTGTGAATTTACGCTTTCAAAGCTTTTTCTCATCCTTTGCTGATGGTTACAGGTGCCACTTAATACCAGTCAATGCATTGACTTAGTGAACTGTAGTTACTTATTCTGATCACCTTGGTTAACATGTAGCTGTTTATAATTAGATGTTCAAGATTTTAATTGGAAACCACAGATAAAAGGGAAGAGCAAGCCAGTAGACACAAAATACACATTTGTATTCTGTACTTTTGGGATAGAGTTGTGTTTAAATTGTGTGATCAGCTTCCAAGATGTACATGCTCCCTATTAAAAGTGGTACTTTTCTATTCAACAGGTGTATTGCCAAGGTATTTTTAGAGCTGTGAAGAGCTTTTTTCTTTCCCCTCCCCTTCTCTATGCTCATTAGTTCTGAAGAGCTAACAAAACTGTGGAAGAGCTGTGTTCTTTTTTAACCTGAATGTCTATTTTCTAGGTGCTGCCACCTTTAAGACTCTACTGAAGATAATTAGGTTATTTGTAGAGTTGTCAAGTATGTGCTTTGTACTTCTGATTGTTTATTTTTAGAAGAAGTCATAGTTTTGATGATGATGTACTTTGATTTATGGAGCCATAGGAGAGTTTGCATGGTTGGTAGTCAGCCTAGTACAATATTCTAATATGAGCTCTGTTCTTAAATGATGCCTCCTATTTTATTATGTTGGCTCACAAAGTTAGAGGTGGATGTTGGTGGTATAACTGCAGAGGTTGAACCTTCCTGACAACATTCTGTTACGTTTTGTTGCTGTGTGACAGATGGCAGCAGAGGGGCACTCTGACAAAATGGTGTCTGACGTGGAAGTATGTATGAAGCAAAGGTTTGTCACCGAGTTACTCCATGTGGGGAAAAAATGGCACCTAGTGGCACTTGTCAATGCTGATGGAACATTTATGGAGATCAAACAGTGGATATCACCACAGTGAGGTGGTAGGTTCTGCGTTGCAGCAATAATGCTGTCATAGCAGCTATGAAACTGTGAGTCACCTCAGCTGGTGCAGATTTTTTATGAGAGATGTTGAAAACAATTGTCAACAGCTGATTTCCCTCCTAAGGCTCCAATTCAAAGTTTTACGGCTATCTTATAGCCAGTTAATGTATGTTTGCATTCATGTATTTTTTTTTAGATGTCACATACTGCTTTTTGATTATGGAGTGGTATTTTGTGTCTTTTTCTTTCTAGAGAGGAAGAAATCAGAAATGTAGGAGGATGAGCTCAGAAATGACTGACATGTGCATCTTAAGAACTTAGTGCAGAGCTTTCATAAGTGCTTAACAGGTTCAGTAAAACAGTTGCTTTAGTCAGCTTTGGTGACTATCGTATCTTGCAGTTTGGTGATATATCTCGCTTTATTCCAGTGTTCAAGTCTTTGTGAAGACCTTGCTGTAGAAAGTACCTTGTTTCTCATTTGGAAACTTGATAATTTGTCTCTTGCTCTGAGTGTGCTTTTGTGACTGATTATCTCTCTCGGGTGTAATTGGAAAGTGAATCTGAACTGAAAGTTGTCATTGTTGTTTCTATGTTGAATAGCATGGAGTGAACTTCACCTCAGAAGTACTCTGGATGTCCTATACTTCCCCTGTTTTTTTTGAACAGCACAGTCAGTTTCATTAGAGGCAAATGTGAAGTGCTTTTAGTGTATTTTTACTATAATTTGATTGATCTCTTCCCCTTGGTTTTTCTAAGCTTTTGCATGCCACCTCCATTTCTAATATTGTGAGGGTTCTGTTCGTTGATACTACCTGGTTCATGTGTTTTATGGAATTCTGTACTGAGAATGCAGTTGTAGAAGATGCTTTAAAGCACTAATCAAAGACAATGATAAGAAGTGTTCACGCATAAGGCAACTTATAAATAACTGAAGTTATTTGTATTAATATATAAAGAGAGTTATATAACATGTAATTTTCATTTTGCTCTGTACGAAAGCCAGAAATCATCTTGGGATATGTTTGCCTAGAATTCTGTTTCGGAGAACATTTATCCTGTTTTTTTTTTTTTGTCTGATTAGCAGATATTTGAATGAATGTGAAGAAAGCAAGACAGAATCTTATAAGATGAGCAGGAAGTATGAAGAGCTCCTCACACAGCTTTCTGAATTCTTGGACACAGACATCAAAGAAAAAGAGAAACCAGAGGAACACTTAATGTTAAAGGTGATTATGTGTAGGCAAGAGTTTTTGTCGTACATACGGACAAGATTTATTAAAACCTTTTACTGTGTTTTAGGAATATATACAGGAGTAACTAAATTAAAAGGAGTAGCTTAATTAAAAAAATGGCTTGACAAAGAGAATTCATCCATCATAGAGAACTAATAGAGGAATATTTGGTTATCAAGGAAATAAAACAAGTGATGAAGAGGGAATTTTTGTGTTAATGTCATGTCACTTAAGACAAGTTTTTCATATTGGCCTGATTTTTGAAGGTGCTGAACGCTAATTGACTTCCGTGAACTCAGTTTGGTCTTATCTGTAAAATATTTTATCAGCCTGTAGTTCCTAAATACAACCTTGATTAAATATATGTTTGAAAGCTCTTGTGGAAACATTAACAATGGAAATTGCTAGGTGACATGTAAATTCTACTGTTTATTTTTAATATTAATCTCAAGCTGTCATACCATTAAGTAGAAACATCTGAAATTTGCTAAGACAACCTTAATGATACCCTTTAATGGTGTAAATCACTGTATGGTGTTTTGAAATGTGAGCATGAGACTGTATTATTTGTTTTGAGAATATTTCTGAAGTTCTGAAAGCAGACTTTCCATTTAGGAAAATTATTTATGTACTCCTTCAACTTTTCTAGATGCTGTTGAAGGACAACTTATCTCAGTTTTATTATTTTTTCCTATGTTCTATCTACGCTCTCCATATTTTTCTTCACTTGAAAGCACACTAATTATTTTGAGTATTTCTCTTTTATTAGATTCATACTATAAGTGTTCTGGTTATAAGGATCACTTAATGAATTAAGACTATCTAAATACGTGTCACAATGATTTACTACAGTCCTTGCCCTCATAATATTACAAGCATGCTCTAATTGTAACAGTGTAACAAAACTTGCATAGTTGTCACCGGAGGCAAAGATATTTGTATTAAGTTTTATCTCTTACATGCTTTAATCAAATAACCAGAGATTTTAAAGTATATATTGACTTTTTTTTTTTCCCCCCTGACAATGTACTAATAGATCTAGTTGAAAAATCTATTTTACAGCTTGTTAGGAAAACTTAGCTACCAGTCAAGGTATGTTTTTTTTTTTTTTTTTCCGTATGCACTCACTGAAGTGTCCACACTCATCTACTTCTTGGAAATGGCATAATGTACCAAAATAGCCTCCAAATCTTACTGGAGTACTCTTTTCTCCAAGGTGCCAGTTGTTCAGCACTGTAGCCCACCAGGTATTTGGCCCTGCCCTCAAATATGCTCAAGAAATAGCTGTTGCTAACTCAAATCCCCTTTTGCCTAAAGAGTTTCAAGCCTAAAATACAGCTTTCAGTTTCCTATTCCAAATGAGAGGCATAAATCTTAGCAAGTCAAACCAAAACAGTCTGCTCTTCACATGAAGATGGTTATATGATCTGTTTTCATTTTCTGACCTGCTCCACGTCAAGTGTGGATACTCCTAAGTGTCAGTAGCTCTCTACCTTTTATTAGCTCATACAGATTATGTGGGAGTAAAGCTGAACAACATTACACTAAATAGATGTGGGTTTCTGTTAGAAATATGGGCCTCAATTGTTTTTCTGCTCTTCTACAAATAAATAGTAGAACAGCACAACTATAAATCTGTCACAGGGGCCTTGGAAATACTGTGTCTGTATTAGGATGATTAGGAGCTGTATAGTGTGATGAATGAACATCATTGTTAAATGCTTTAACAAAGTTACCAGTTGCTGAATTATCTCTCTAGGCTTGTGAAATATGTAAAGAAAATCTGGCACTAAAAGCTCAGGTTGCTGCTCTTCAAGAAGACATCAATGGCCATGAAATGGAATCCAAGGCTAGTAGAGAAACTATCATGAGGCTTGTTTCAGAGGTGACCAAAGAGCAGAAAAAGGCAGCAAGATATTATGAAGACATGGAAAAACTTAGTAAGGTACATAACTGTATGATGTCCATGTTTGTTTAATTTGAAATTTTGAGGTGAAAACTAATTTTTGATAGGTGTTGCATGAGGAAAAACTACTTCTGATAGACTTTCATTGATGAAGATCTATTCAAATTATTTTTAAGGTTATTCTCAACTTTTTGAAATCTTAAGGATACGTGGAGATTAAACATCAACATGCAAGATAGGACTAACTTAGATTTGATGTCTTCTATGTTGCATGCAAATTGAAATTTTTGCTTTCTTTTTGTTGTTGTAGCCTTCATTGCTTGCACAAAAACTAAACAGATGCTTTTCTAAAGCAGTGTGAATGTATGACTATGAATGTTTGTGAGGCACAAGCATAGAACAATGGAAAAAAAATGCTCTTTAATATTTAAGTGATACTGAAATTTTTCTGAGGATTCTTTTACTCAGTTTCTTCAAAAATTCTAATGACATTCAAAGGAATTAATAGTATTCTATTTTATTCTTCCTATTTGTCTTAAGAGTCTGGAAGTAAAGTGTCTTGGCTTTTGGACAAGCTAGATTATCTCGTTTCACTGCATAATAAACACATATTTCATAAATATTCAGTTGACTCACGCTCAGTAGTTCTCTTGTAGAAAAGCACTTATTTAGTATGGAAAGCCCACAGAGCAAAACCGTGCAGTAGGAATGATGCTGAAATGAAAACTGTAAGTGAAGTTGTAAGTCAAGTACTCACTGAATTCATTTAGGTACGGTTTGGAAAGAAAAGGATGTGATTTAAGGATTTAAGTGCTCCAAGAAAACTTGCCATTAAAAATTTTGGCTTGTTGTGAAGGGTGGATGAACAAAGTGAGCTATTGCAGCAGTTTTCTTTAATGCTTTGTACTTTGAGTGATACTGATGAGAACAGTTCACTAAAACTATAGTGAAAACTTCTTGCAGGTACTAGGGCCGTGTGGTTAAAGCTGATGACCAGAATTTAGGAATATAAGAGGAGAGGCTTAAACTGATAAATATATAGCTGAGTTATGTGTAAGTGAGCTTGTAGAGATTTCAACATAAATAAAACATTGTGCAAGTAAGTTTTCAAAATTAGTATACATTAATGTTTTCTCCATCCCAGCATTTTTTTTTTCCTGAAAAAATGACCACAGTCATACACTTTAAAGGATAAAGTGTTCTGATTTTGCTGTAGGCAAAATACTTAAGAGATGAGACAGAGCTGAAAGCATGCTTTTGAGAAGAAAGAATTTGTTGTAGGGAAGATAAATACTAAGTACCACGAGGGTCATAAATTTTACTTACTGCTGAAAATGTTTCTTAACAACCTGTGTAAAACTTCTTAAGACTCAAATTGCAATGAGAGTGAACCTGGACTGAAAGCCTAACCAGGCCATTCTGAGAACCTTTTGTTCCTGTATAAAGAAGGGGAGAGAGAGGTGTGCTTACTAGGTAAGCCAGAATGGGGAGACGTTCTAAGCGAGGATGAGGCTTCATTTCTAATTTCTTTTGCAAGTTTGTTCTGACTGCCGAAACTTTTCCAGAGTTGGATCAGTTAGATGAAAAATATTTTCCTGTCATTACTGTTTGTGTGCCAAGTGCATAATTTAATCCATTCCTACAGAAATGTCCTGCTAAATTATTAGTGTTGCCTTTCAAATGAAGAGTGTGTGATCCTGGCTTACTTAAAGGTTTCAGATTCCTACAGTACTTTTTCAGTTTAGCTGCTTAAATTTGCAGATACTGAGTAAATCTGTTGAGAAGATTTTGTATTAAAAAAAGTATATGAAGAAATTCAGTATAAAAAAACTACACGAAACCAAGATATTTCATTTCCATATGTAAGAGTACATATACCATTCCTGCTTCTTCTGAAGGTTGTCTTTATAGAATCATAGAATGGCCTGAGTTGAACAGGACCTCAAAGATCATCTAGTTTCAACCCCTCCTGCTGTGGGCAAAGTCGCAGTGTCCTGTATTATAGGAAGAGCATCCTCAGTGGTATAGAGTAGGTCTGACTTTTGCTACACAGTTCAAATAAGTACATGGATGGAGTTGCATGCTGTTCTATTTTTGCTTGTGAAAGACCAGCAGAAATCTGTACTGTCACAGATAACAAGCAGGTGTTCCTGGCATAGCCAACACATTGTATTACAGATAAAGATGGTGTCCCATTTGCCCCATCTTTCTCTTTCAAAATTCTTAGGTGTACAGGGACCAGCACACAACCTTTCTGTTCAGCAGTTCTATCAATTTTCTCTGGCAAGACACAGCCCCATTCCCTGCCTTCTCTCCGAACTGTTGCTAGTTTTTCTTGCTGATTTCACTGCTGTTCTTTGGAATGTTTCTGCACTCCTTCTCTTGACCGGGTGCCTCTCTTCATGTCCCAGGAGGAAGCATCTGCCAAATGAGCAAATAAACAGATGATACAAATTCTTGATGGAGAAAATAATATCCAAGAAATATTAGCAGGATATAAGTTACATATGTGAGAGTTATTAAGAGTATCTCTAGTATACTTGATTCTCCAGTATTTGTTGCAGTCAGTTGGTTTTCACTGGAGAAACATTAGCAAGTGAATGATAATTGTCTGTTCGCCTGTCAGCCTTCGTGCATTACAACTTCAAAGCACCAAAAAACATAAATATAATATCAAAGCTAATAAAAAGCAATAGGTAGCTACAAAGCTTTTTTTCCTTGTATTTTATTACTTTTATTGGGAATTTTTAACTTCCCAAACTGCTGACTGAATATTCTGAGAGCTTCCTCTTGCAATTCTGTAAACATTGCGCATATACTTATTCTGGTAATGCTGGATATCACATTTGACTTTGATAGAAAATTGTTTTTAAATGCTGCCCAGACTGGAACGTCTTTTTTTTTCCTGTGTGTTCAGAGAGTAATTATTGATTATTCATCACAGAATTGCAGTGAAGTATCATAGAATCCTTAGACTTGAAGGGATCTCTGGAGACCAGCTAGACCAACTCTCCAGCAATGAACAGGGAGACCACAGCAAGATCAGGTTGCCCAGGGCCTGATCCAGCCTTGCCCTGAAAGTCTCCAGGGATGGAACATCAACCACAACACTGGGCAACCTGTTCCAGTGCCTCACCACTCTCATTATAAAATATTTTTTCTTATATATATATCACCTAATAACATTCTTTGATCATGTCTGTCAGTCTTAAAATAAATAAAAATCTCTAACCAAGATTCTCTTTCTAGTGCTTAATAAATACACGGTACTGTATACACACACAGTATAGTTAAACTATAGAAGATGTGTGTATTCTACCAGATACAAGAAATGGTAAATTGGCTTGTTCTTTTTTTCCCCTCATCTTCTCTGATGGTTCAGCCTGGAAATACTTGTGTTTCTGGACTGTTCGTTTAAACATCTGTTTTGCAAAGATGTGCATCACGCAGTGTCTGTAAAAATAACATTTAGAATATAATCAAGGAATACAAATGTATCTGTATGTATTGCTGATGCAACATTAATGTCAAAACAACTTTTTATTCAATAGTAAATTATATTAAATCTTTTAATTAAATGTATCTAAGTAGTATCTATTTAATATGAAATTATTAAAATTGATTGTGTGAAAACATATTCAATTAAAATGTTTTATTATTTAAGGAATTCGAATTGACGTGAAAAACATACATCCTTTTTTCATATACCAAACTATTTTGATTGTAGGATATGTGACCAAATGATTTGAGTTTTTGTTTATTGCAAGAGATAATTGCTTTCTCTGTTAGAATTTTTTTTAAGATGTCACTAAGAAAATGAATATTAGGGACATGTTTCAGTAGATATGTCAAATATGTTCAGTTTGAATCATCAGGGAAGATGGAAGATGAGAAAATACTAATTTAGAGGCCTTGTGTTATTGATTGCAACAGGAGACATGGCTAGTTTGAGAATTCATCTGGAAAATACTGGCATTTTACTTTTTATACCTACTGTTCTTGTCAATGTGACTTGCTTTTTTGTATTTAAAATTGACTTAGTATACCATGATCCTTCATGAGGTGCCAATATTAACAGTTATTATGTAAGTTCAAATATTTTTCTCTCTTCTGAAGACCCTCTCTGCTTATTTAACCTAAATGCTGCACTCTTGGAAGAGATTAAAGTCAAAATGCCCAGGCTTTCCTCTGGAAGTATAACAAGGATATGAGAGGGGTTGTAGATGGACAGATGCTAGTGAAGGAGAGCAATTATTTAGGAATCTGCTACGTTAGGCCCAAAAGTCAACATCTAAGCTGTGAGAGTGGCCAGTGGCTGGTGAGTAGGAAAGCATGCAGCTTCCTACTCTCTCAGCTACCTGATTCAAGGGTTGCATTTCCATGTTAACAGCTGATGTTGCTTCTACATTGTTTCAAATAGAAGCTCATTAAATCCCTTTAGAAAATGACCCTGTCATTGTTAGTGCTTTTTTTTTTTTTTTTTTTGACAAAAAATTAACAGTAGTTCCTGACGTTCTTTATGTGCAACAGCTGCACTGCAAAAACCAGGCAAATCTCTGGACACTGTGCATGACTGTTGTAATCAAGTATGTCTGAACTTCCAAGATACCCTCAGCTGTTTTATAAGCTTTCAGGTTGGTACCCACCTTCTTACAGTGTAGAATTTCTCTTGATGCATCCTTACGCACTATTTCTCTTGATACCCCATGCCTGTTCAGTGCTCAGGAGGCATTTGGGTAATGCCCTCAGTGACTTGCTTTGACTGTTGGTTATCCCTCATATATATATGAAGTGGTCAGGTAGTTGGACTTGATCTTGGTAGGTCCTTTCTGGCTTAACTACTCTACTCTTACTGTGTTCATCAGAAGTGATAAACTTGCTTTACTTTCTCTGCTAAATTGTTTGTTTTTCCCACTACAAGTCTTCAGTTTCACATTTCCATCTGGTTGAAGTACAAGTTATTTTTAAATCTGAGGAAGAAATAAACCCCACAATTTCTTTACACTATAACAATGCTACTAAAAGTGTCTGAATTCCATTGTTTTATTCTACAAACAGTGGGATCTTGACTCCACAGAATGGGTAAAAGTTTCATCAAAAATTTATGTGGAGTTATAATTTTCCTTAGAGACTTTTAGATGCAAAGCTGATATCTATGAAAATAGTTTTCAATAGAATTAATTCTTTGTAACTATGAAAATAATAATTTTGTTTGACATTTTAAAAACATCGTTCAGGATACACAATTGAGATGATACATTTTAATAACATAAAAATGTTATAATTTTGATCAATAACCTTTTGAATAACCTCGTCTAGGGGAAACTTTGTGAGAACTGACATTGAATCAAGAGGTAAATCTATTCCTCTGAAACCACTGGTGCAGCTTCCTTATTGCTTTCGCCACAGCCAAGATAATTGATGGAGTTGGGTAATGCAGCTGTGTGATGAGGAACTGTAGATTGCGAAGTCTGGCAAGGAAAGGTCTCATTTTCAGCAGTGAGTGATGATTCAGTTTCCTTTCCAGTGAGAAACTGTTTTAAATGTTGCTCTATGCGTAGGATCAGTGGAAGACAGAAATGAGTATAGTTGGTTCCAGAAAGACTGCTAATTGAAGTTTCACAGCTCTTTTCTATGGATATTCAATGGCAAGATCTTTGCAGTGCTTCTGAAGCTAAATGTTGTCAAACTTGCAAGCGCCTGTGATTTGTTTAACGTATAATTGGAGAAGAAAATGTGGCTGGATACCTTATAGCGTTGGAAGCCCACGTACACTAAAAATTAATGTAAATCAAAATAAATTTGCTCAGTAGCATCCCAGTAGCTCATTCAGCATCCCCTCAGTAGCTCATTCAGCATTACCATTCGTAAGGCTAAAAATACACAATAGTCAGTACAAAAGGCTAATTTTTCTTCCTTTTACTTTTTTTCTTTTGAGGTTAAGATGAGAGCTGATGCTGGAGCTAAAAATCATCATCATGTCATTTGCAAAGCCACAATAATGACTTTTAAATAGGGTGCGACATACTTCTGTGATGTCACACATGCACAGTAGGGGAAAAACAATCTTTAATATCCTGTTGTAATCTATTGGATTAAATGGAGGCAGAGACTTTCTTTTTTGCAGTACATGGTTAGGTAACTGAGCAGTTCTTTTTTACTTATACTCATAACAAAAAGCTTAGTGCTTTTGGGATGTGAACCTGTTGTGTTGTCTTTGAGTCTCATTCAGTTGTGGTTATGTTTTTTTATTAGGCAAATAATATTATTTTAAAGCAATCATGCATTGTAGATATAAGTAGAATTTTGTAAAGGACTTGGTTAACATGCTGTAGTGGAAATGCTAAGTCTTGGCTTGAAGAAGTTATTGAGTGCCTGGTAGGAAGACAGAGCCAATCCAGGGGAGCTCAGGTGCATGCAATGCACCTAAGTGATCACAATGGATAGAGCCAGGATCTACCACTTCCCAGACCTCCATTAAGAATTGGTAGTGGAGGCAAGGGTATCTTGCTGGAGATCCCTCCCTAACTGAGGTATTCTGAAGGTAAGATGATTTTCTTTTGTTTCTATGCCCATGGCTGTTGTATTTGAACAAGTCTTCACTTGCTGCACCATAGGACCTTCCTGCTTTGTTATCATTGCTGTGCTTTCCATTGTGTTATGGCATTACACATACATAGATAAATACATGAAAAAGGAAGGACAGAATAGATTTATGTGTACAAAACAATTGTAGTAAAAAGCAATTACAAAATGATGGGCTCTGAATTTATTGTTATAGTCTAGAAAGAGATCTCGATGTATGATAGTTCTAGAAACAAATCAGCTCAGCAGCACTAGGAAAAATAGAATATTATAAATCACTAGGAAATAAGAGAAAATGTTACAATATCGCTGCTGAAATTTATGGTGTGACTACATCCTGAACACACATGGTTAAAAGAACAATTGCACGCACATATGGAAGTAGGAATCACTGAGTGTTGTAAAATAGAAAAGACCATTTCTATATCTGTAAGTCTGAGTTGCAGTTATTTTGAGGTGAGAGAGAATTCCAAGGAAGTAATTTATGCTTCCTTGGTTCTTCCTGTCTTTTTGAGAAGGTTGTTACTGCCTGCTGTCAGAGGCTGGCTGTTGCAATAAATAAACCTTTGGTCTGAACTGAAATAGCTTTTCTCAAGTTACTCTGCTTGGTTTCACTTCATGTGTATTAATTATATCTCTAGAAAGGGATCAATAGAGTGAGAACGTGTATTAGAATATATTATTAGCTGAAAGATTTTTAACCCTTCCCATTTTTCTTCCATACATCTGCTTCTCTAACACAGTCACATTTCCTTGGCTGTTTTGCAGTGTTAAATGCAACTCTTTTATCCGTTCCTTGTAAAATAGTCTCTCTCTTTCTATGTTTGTAAGATAGAAATAATTTTCCCCACCTGTTGTAACTTGAGTGCATTCGACATGAATACAGCTGAACTGTTATTGAATACACTGGTTCTCAGGAAGCCTTGCTGATGGCTTGTACAGTGGTCTGGATCTTCTTCTATTTTCTCTAATCTCAGGTGGAGCACAAATAGGTGAGCATTAATGGATTCCATCCAGCTGTGAGTGGCCAGCTGCAGGCACAGCAGTGTGGTGCTTGAGCCCTTTTGGGTCACAAATAAAGTAAGAGTTTCTGATGTTTCTTTCTGTGCCAGCCCATGAATGTGTCACATCTGCCACATCTTGTGTCTGTCAGTCAGCCACTTGACACACTCAACTGTGTGTGTTTACAGATGTTCAAAATTTGAAGCAAGATCATAATGAAGTAAGCTTTCTGGTACAGGCAAACTACATTTGCACTGTCTTTCTGAAAGAAATATTACAAACTGCAGAGAAATGTAATTTAAATGACTTTTTATTCTTTGCTGTAGTTTCCATAGTGTAGTTCTCTGCACAGGTTGGAATTTTCTATTAATAGGTCTTCCTTAGAATAAAGAAAATGACAAGGAATCATGCCAACCTTTGCTTTCCAAGATTGTTCTAAGATTATTTTAGAAAGGTCTAGTAACAAATAATGAGATAAATGGCAGCATTTGTGTTTATGTTTAGATGGTATTACTGTGGCCAGCAGGTTGAAGGAGGTGATCCTCCTCCTCTACTCTGTCCTGGTTACATTTAGAATACTGCATACAGTTCTGAGCTCCACTGTTCTAAACAGACAGGGATCTCCTAGAAGGAGTCCAGTGGAAAGCCACAAGATAAAGGGCCTGAGCATCTCGCATATGAGAAAAGGCTGAGTAACTGGGATCTGCTCAGCTTGGGGAAAAGAAGACTGAAGGGAAATCTGATAAATGCTTATAAATACCTGAAAGGTGATGGGAGGCAAATGGTTGAGGCCAGGCTCTTCTCGGTGGTGCATAGCAATAGGACAAGGAATAATGGCCTAAAACTTGAACATAGGAAGTAACACGTTAAGAAACTTCTTTATGGCAAGATTGTTAGAGCACTGGAACAGTTTGCTCAGAGAGGCTGTGGAGTCTCCTTCTCTGGAGATATTCAGGACCCATATAAACACCTACCTGTGTGACCTATTGTAGGAAACAATAGGTAGTGGGGGGAGTTGGACTTGATCTCTTGAGGTTCCTTCCAACCCTGTAATTCTGTGATCCTGTGAGCAGCAGATGAGGGCAAGTGTAGGCTCTGTGAAGTGACCTTCACTTCATCAGATGAATTTTTCTCATGCTAAGGGCAAATTTGCTTTCTTATATCACACAGAATGATTTTGTTTCTTTTTTTTTTTTTTTTTTTTTAGGGGAATTGCAACCTATTGTTTCTTCATCTTACTGTCTCTTTTAACACAGCATTCCTTATTAGATATTCAATTGATATTTGAGCATTTGTCTTCTTTTACGCTGTCTTAAATGTTTTCTTTTTTTTTTTTTGTCTCCTATGTTTTAATGTATAAATAATCTCAAGACTATTTTTTGTCACATTGCTGGTAAGGTATTCTCAGAAACAACTTATAATTTTGCTCAAAGCACTACATTCAAAGATGTCATGTGTATTCATGTTTTCCCTCACAGGTTTAGTACTTTGGCTTTGTTTGTATTATATTTTATTGGACTTAAAAAGCCAGTGATTAATAGGAATGAAAATATAATCAATAGTTTCGTAATCCAACATTATTTTTTTCAGGTGCAGGTGTTTTTTAATCTACTAGTTCTTGCGGGTTACTGCAAGATGTTGATCTGTGGACAAATTACAGCAGGTTTGGGGTTCCAGTAATGTCAGTGGGATTTTTCTTATGAAACTTTTATTTTGTGAGTAGCATGGATCTGATTTTTCCCTAACTGCAGTATCCACTTCTGATGTACCCCCTGCTTTGTGTCTGTGTGGAGGAGGGATTCTATGACATTTTAAAATTTCATTTTAATCTGTCTTGTATTTTAGGATCTTGACAGTGCTAAAATGGCAAGACAGAGTTTGGAAATGGACATCAGAAACCTCCAAGATAAGTTCAAGGCTAATCAGAAAGCCTGGGAAGCCTCGAAGCAAGAACTTCATAGTCTGAAGAAATCTTTTAGTGAGCTGGATGGAAGTTTGAAGAGCAGCAAAGAAGAAGCCAGGACTGCTCAAAGCTCTTTAGAGGCTTTCAGACAGCAAGTCGCTACCCTTCTCAGTAGCGGCTCACTAACAGTTATACCCTCTGAGAAAGATATTTTGAAGAGAGTCCAAGAAATAAACTGCAAAGAGGAGAGTGAAGAGAGAGTAAGTCAGCACTACTGCACTGCCCCAGAGCATACATTTATTTTCTTTGGCTGTCTTCATTTTCCAGTAAAGTCACACAGATTTATCTGAGTATTGTTTCCTTCTGCTTAGGTTTTGAAATTACAGAAACTTTTGATTTTGTTGACTGTTGATTTGAGACATAAAGCCCAAAAGCATTTATTCTTCATTAAGTAGGAAGAGGTCAGAAATTAAAGAAGCAGTAAGTTTGTTAGCAGGAAAAGGCAAAGATCTTTCAGTAAACTGTCCAACTTGAACTAAAAGCTAGCCAACATTATCCCCATTTACAAAAATGTGTCAGTAGCAACAAAGCTAGTAACAGGGCTAGAAGGCATGTCCTGTGAGGAGAAACAAAGGAAGGACACTTGAGTTGTTCAGTCTGGAGAAAAGAGGCCAATGGGTGACCTTATTACTCTGCAATTTCTTGAGGAGAGGAAGGTGCTAGTCTTTTCTCCTTGACAGTCAATGATAGGACCCGTGGGAAGCGGACAAAGCTGTACCAGGAGATGTTCAGACTGGATATAAGAGAAAACTTCTTCACCATGAAGATGATCAAGCACTGGAACAGGATTTCTAGAGAGATGGTTGATGCTCCATGTCTGTCAGTATTCAAGAGGCATTGGAACTCAATAGGTCCAATATGGAACAACAATCATGTCCTCAATAGTATGCTTTAACTTTTTTGTCAGCCGCGAAGTGGTCAGAGTTGAAGTAATGATCTCTGAAGGTCCAATTCAACTGTTCTGTTGTAAATTTATTAAATTTATTGGCAGTTTAAATTGGTCTGCAGTTCTGCTGCTGCTCAAGATAAGTCATTTCAAGATTAGCCCTATTGTGACTACAACCCAGAAGTAAGAGCAGGACAGGTAGATATGAGTCTAGCAGCTAAGTATCTTGATGCTGGAAAGTAAAAATGTGCTGATGAATTAACTCTTACATAAAGGAAGAAGTATTGGAATTAAATTTTTCATTCTCTGTCAGGATGTTTCTATAAGCAACTTGCAAACTAGATGAGTAGAATCAGGAAAAGACAATGCAAAAATATGGGAGGGAGAAAAAATACTTTTGAGTTTGATGCCTATCCTAAAAAGCTTTTGTTTTTACATTTTTAAATCATTACTGCTTCTCCTCTGGGAATCCAGTGTATAGGATCATCCTGTCAGGGGTGCTGTCAGCAAAATGTTCAAATTTGCATCTTCTGTGTCTGACTTACCTCTGTATGTGCACAGGTTAAATGGAGCTGTGAAAAGTTGGAGTTTTAGGTTTCCAGTGAGAAATCTATTCACTGTACCTGCAGTAAGATTTTCTGTGAAATCTGAAATGCACTCAAATATTGTGGTGATTTAGGCATCTGGCAGCTTGTGAGATCTTCATAGCCTGTATAGTAGCTGTTAGCATTAATATTAATAAAGAAAAAAATAATCTCACTTTTTTTTTTTAAATATCCCAGCATATACTGTAACAATGTCCAGTGGTAGAAATTCTGTTGCAAGACTAAGATACTTTGAATCACTATTACAGCAGTTATAACAAAATGTACATTGAATGTTTGGACACTTCTCAGGTTTTTTTTTGTCATTTATTATTTATGACATACCAAAAGGGTTCATAGGGAGCTGACATCCATGGCAAGCAAATGTCATCAGTTCACAGAGAACTCAGCCCTGCTATGAGGTCTCTGAGTTCAGATTCACTGCAGATTTATTGCAGCAAATTAAATTCATATGGCTGAAATTATTTCTCTTGTCTACTCACTTATCTGACCTCAGATAGGAATGGCTGACCTGATTGTAGATTGTATCATTTATATCAGTTTTTCTTCTTGATATAACAGATGACTCATAAGTGCTGAAACTGATTAGGCTGTATTACTGTGCTTGTTACAATCTCCTGTTCTCTCATTAACAAGTCTTTTAATGATTTGTCATGTCAGTCTCATAAATGTATATTTAATATTAGGATTTACCTGCTTTTCTTTTGTTGACAAAATATTCCTGTACTGTGGAATCAAGATTGTTTTGCTATACACAGGAATGTTTGTGAACATTGCAATTTACAGTCTCTTCTTTATAATGTTTTGAGGAAGATGGATACTGCATGTGCTTCTTTCATTGTTCTAAACAAAAGAATGTGTGGGAAATTAATTATATTCATGCATACAAAGTAATGCGCACAGTGGCTTTGAGCTGACCAAAAAACCCCTAACCAAATGGAATGTGAGAAAGCATTAGGGGAAAAAGAAGTTAAAATTTAAAACATAATTATGCCATGGTATATATCCATGGCTGCTGCATTCTGTGCAGCATATAAAGTTATGCTAATGTAATTAATTTTAAAAAGGGCTTTTAAAAAATGCAGGAAAAGAGCATGATTGTGTCTAGAGGCTTTCATGCAGGACAAGATGAGCTCAGCCAGGGATGGTAAGTGCAATGCAGAATAGAATTACCAGCTATGAGTTTTTTTTTTTTTAAAAAAAAAAAAAAAAAAAAAAAAAAAGCACACGTGCGTATAAAACAGGAAGTTTAAGATAACATCTTACCAAACCAGAACAGTTCCAGTGGGGATGAACCCAGCTATCCCCAGGATGTCTCTGGAAATCTTGAATTTCTTGTAAGTCAAGAAACAAAAGGCACCTTTCTAAAATCATCTGGTAGTTATATCAGGAAAAGGCGCAGGAAATGTGCGTGGTGTGCAAATGATGGGCACAGGAGGTTAAGATCATAGGATTATAAAATATCCTGAGTTGGAAGGGACCAACTTCTGGCTCCGTGCTGCACCACCCAAAATTCGAGCCCTATGTCTGAGAATGCTGTCCAAATGCTTGAGCTCTGTCAGCTTGGGGTCATGCCCACTTCCCTCTGGTGAAGAACCTGACCCTCTCCTGATGCAGCTCTGTGCTGTTATGGAGATCAGGACCACAAGAACAAAAAATGTATCCTTATTAACTGAATACAGGCACTGGTTGCACTTCTGTTTTAGGAAATCCCTGAGTTGTCGATTGTTCCTGTGTCAGGGATGAAGGTTACTCCTGGATGCTCTTGCAGATAAACTAATTGCTGATTTTGGTCTCTTTCTGTTTCTGTGGTCTCTTGGGACCTTCAGGACCCATGTGGCCAGGCTGTGCGCACAGCCCCTCTGCAACCTGGGAAGGGATCCTGTCCCCACAGGCCGACATTCAAGCTACTGAAAGCTTTTTCTTCTGCTTCTGATATACAGTGCAGAAAAGCGTGAAATGCGTATAAGCGTACTTGCAGTTTTACAGCTGTTTAGAGTTTACTGAAATTTAGTATTTTCTACTGCTGTACAAGCAGCAGTAATTTCTCAGTTGTTTCTTAGGTAGTTAGGATGCAAACTATTGTTTGTATTGAGTTGTGATCTAAGTTGGAAACCTTTCTGTGCTGTTAAAATTAATGGGAGTATTGCGTGTGTGTTATTCATTTTATCAGTGTGAGGCAAAGAGGAGTTTAAAATGAAGAGACGAGTGGAGAAGAGTACCTGAACACTGAGTTACAAACACAATGTAGTAATTCATCTAAGCAGAGGATTGTGTGACAGTAGGAGAAGAGATGGAAAGAAGGAAGCAAGCAACTTTTTGGATGAAATTGAGCCTTCTATTATTTGGCAGTAGTGTAATCAGATGCTTTCAAGTATTATAGTATTTATAAGTAGTTTAAACTTAAAAGCCATTATGTTTTAAGTAGGTTCTGCAGAGTTAACATAGTGCTTGAAGTGTTTTCAGAAGGATTGATCTAGTTTCTTGGTGTAAGATGCTTCTAGCCTTGTGTTTTGGCTAGATTACAGAAATCTTTTTTTTTTTTTTAGCAAACTTTTCTAGTTAAAGACACATTAACAGCTGGGAAGCACTCCTCTGAGATTTAGTTATCCATATCTACATTCTCACCTACATGCTGCATGTGTTTGCTAAATTGTTTGTAGACGTTTTTCCCGTTTAATTGCTTCATAACTTGTGACATCTTGGTGCTACAAGGTATTGCTGGTTTGCTAACAACTCTGGATGGGTTGCACCTAAGCTCCTTTAATTTGGTTTGACTCATCTTAAATATTGTTTTGCTGTTTACTTTTGAGTGTCGTGCATCACCGATTTTGCCATTTGCTCTTGATGGGTACAGCAGTGTTTTCGCTGCTTATTTTTTTTATTTGTATGTTTTACAGTTTACTTTTTTCGGGGTTATTTTACCCTTTTTTAATAATTTGAGGATAGATCTTATGCATCTTTTTAAACCTACATAATACTGTATGTTTTGTGGACTGACTTGCTCCGTAGGTGGTATCTCAACTTGAATCCCAAATAGCTAAACTGACTGAAACTTTGGAAAATCAAACCAGATCATACCAAGAAGCTCTGGAGAGAAGCAGAAAATTTGAAAAACAATCTGAGACTTTCCAAGATCAGCTGAAACACTTGGAAGAGGAGCTGCTCTCTCTATATATGATACAAGATGGTTTGAAGCTTGAGAAACAAAAAGTTGGTACACGTATTATTTTATTTTGTGTAAAAATCAATAAAGTCTGAGATGATACATCTAACTATTGCATCAATCACTTGGGTATTACTCAGCAGTGCAAGTAGTGTGAATTAGCAAAGGCTTTGTGTAGCACGTCATAATCTGTTTTCTTTAACTGACCATTCTAGTTGGAAAAGGTGGATAAGCTGAGTTCAAAATTGATTTAACATGGAGGACGGAAAAAAAAAGAGATTAGAAGAAAGTCTCTAAATATATCAGAAGTCTTTCCAGGGTTCTTTGATTTCAGAGTTTTTTTTTATGTTTTTATAATGTATCATCTGGTCCACAGTCTATAGAAATCCTGCAGTCCTTGATCTTCAACCACTGCTTTTTTAATTGTATGAAAACACACTGTTAGCTTGAAACACGTTGGTATACTGAGAATCTGAAAAATGAGAGCTGAACAAGCAACCCAGTGCAGATAAGAAAGACAAAGTGCATGACTGATTTTAGCATATTACCCAGCAAAGATCAATGCTAAGTGAGTTGAATTTGACAAAAATCAACAGTTTGATTGGTTTTGTATTGGTCAGTGATGCAATAACTTTTCTGTATGAAGCATCCACCATCTTAAGAGTGAACTAGAAAACAAAGCTGTTCTTTCCCTTCTGTTTCCTCTGTGAAGAACATGTGGCACTAGATTTTTAATTTCTCTCAGGATTTTACTGTGATAGAAAGATTTTTCTCCTGTGATGACAATCAGCTTTGCTGATTATCTTCTGCTGTCTTTTTAAGCTTTTTGAGCCAAAACATCATGGGGAAAAAGCCTGATTCTTGCTATGTTTTATCATCTTCAGCTCAAGCAATAGTTATGAAACTGTTTAACTGTTTTTT